TATATATATATATATATATATATATATATATATATATATATATATATATATATCTCCTTAAGGTTTATTTCAAGTTTTTCAGATTGCCCAAGGAGCGTCTGATACAGTTCTGCAAAGGAATTATTGAGTCTGTCATTTGTTACCTCCATAACTGTCTGGTTTGGCACAGTAACCAAACAAGACAGACACAGACTTCAACGGATATAGTTAGGACCGCAGAAAAAACTGTTGCAACCAGCCTGACTTCCATTGAGGACTTGTATACTGCACAAGCCAGAAAGAGGGCTGGGAAAATATCTACAGACCTCTCATATCCTGGACATAAATGTCTTCCCTCAAGATGATGATTTAGGGCATTGCACACTAAAACAACCAGAGACAAAGACCTTGTCCCCCTCCCTCCCCTATGCGATCATTCTTCTAAACAACTAGTTCCCCCAATACTTTCTATGTGTGCCCTACGAAACTCCCTAGTAGGGCTGTATTACCTATTATCCTTCTCACCTTTTCATCTTTCCTGTCACCTCTTCCCTTAGCTTCTTGTGACTATAACTTTGTTATTTGCATCTCACGATTTATGTTGATTGCCTTTATTTAGTATCTTATTATGATTTATGTTGTTCGGCTATTTAATATCCTACAATATTAGTATCTTATGACTATCACTGAGTGTTGCATCTTACGATTCATGATGATTTATATTTTACGATTATGATCAGGATTTATCACTTGTTGCTTGTACGTCCACTGAGAGCTTATGCACCGGAGACAAATGCCTTGTGCGCGTCCAATCACACTTGGCCAATAAAGAATTCTCTTCTCTTCTATTTCCTCTGCCTTCTCACCGTTCAGATCCAACGGAGGCTACGGTGCAAATCCCTCAAAGCTTGTGGGATTAGTTTAACATTTGCTCATGGTTTGCGGAACAGTAAGCTACCTTAATCCAAAATCATAAGCAACACCATCTTTTGTCTTAAGAGTTTCTTTGTGCCGGAGGTGTCTGACAAGACTAGCAAATCCTTTCTAAGGAATTCCTGGCACAAGGTAACCCAGGGGGCATGTGTTCCATAGATAAAGGTTTCAGACTGAAAGCATTCTATATCCACCGGTGGGATCCTACCGGTTTAACAACTAGTTTGGTGATCCTGCGCTTCGCACCCGCTTAACGCACAGTTTTGAGAAAACTTTCCTTCCACATTACTGCTCGAGAGGAAAACAGCTGAAGCGTGGCAGTCCGCTCAGCTGATGATATAGGGCAGTAAAACTCAAGGGCGGGTGGGCGGGCCCAGCTGATCGTCAGAGTGAACCGGTTCTCTCCCAGCTGATTGTCGGAGCTACCGGTTCTGCCGAACCGGTAGAATTCCACCCCTGTAATATATCCTACCTTCAGCTTTCAAGCATCAGTAACCATATTTTAGTTCTGATGCAGGATTTTGGAACTTTTAATGTCATGCCAGCCTTTCCCCCCATGAATACTAAAGAAATATATTTAGATATTTCTTCACAGATCTTCCCTTGTCATACCTAGAGAGAGAGAGAGAGAGAGAGAGAGAGAAGCAGGTAACAAGTTTAGAAATGGGAGACATGGCATTTAAGAAGTCTAAATATAAAACCACTTGTGAAAGAGAATCTCTTTTCCATCTCTGATTACCAAATACTTTCCCACATGGAAAAAAAAATCTCAGACCACTTTGGTGAAATTCTCAAGCTTCACTTTGCTAAAACTTTGGAGCCATAGAGCTGCAAAAACATAGAGCCCCCCCTTCTGTGTTGTTGCAACTTGGATCTCAGAAGTGCATCCAGTGGGCCTGAGAGCATGCAACAGACCTTGAAAATGTGTGTAGCATTGGTGGTACCTAGTGCCAATGGTGGGATTTAACTGTTGTAAGAACAGGTTTGCTCCATGAGCATGCGGTGGGTTTGAAAACAGCTCAAAAACTTACCTTCTAGTGCAGCCCCCGGTGAGTAAAACAGCTGAGGTACAGCAATCCGCTCTGCCGCACTTAACAGCTGGGCTTCAAACAAAGGAAATATAGGTCAGTATAGTGGGCGGGAGGGCAGGTCCAACTGATCCTCGGAGAGAACCGGTTCACTCTCAGCTGATCGTCGGAGCTAACGGTTCGTCCGAACCGGCTGAATCCCACCCATGCCTTGTGCCTATGCTACTTTGGTTTGCCTGTTCCAACAGAATTGGCTTTTGCGTTCACTGAGAGCTATTTCCTGTAGGATTACAGCAGGGGTGTCAAACTCAATTTCACTGAGGGCCGCATCAGGGTGAGTGTTTGACCTTGGGGGGGGGGCGGGATGGGTGTGGCCAGGGTGGGCATAGCCAGATCAATGTCACTTGTATCGGCGGTGCCCGTGCGCTCTGCCACCAAAAACAGGCTTCCAAGCTCCATTTTGGCTGCAGCGGGCTCCTGCAACCCTCTGCCAGCGAAAACAGAGTTGGGAGGGCCTCCTGCAGCCCTCACGAGTTCAATTTTCGGCTGTGACGGCTCCGTTTTCGCTGGCAGAGGCACCGCGGGCTGGTTCTTCGCTATTTTCCAGGGTGGCCCCATGGGCCAGATCTAAGCAACCAGCAGGCCGGATCTTGCCTCCAGGCCTTGAGTTTGACACCCCTGGATTAAAGGAAGATAACAGCACGTGTGCTAAGCCTAAGACTATCCCCAATCTGTAGCGTGGAAAAGGGGTCTGAATCCTTGAGGGCCAGAAAGATAAAAGTCAGGTCCTCATTTTAGGAGGCTCCTTTGCAGCCTCTCAAACAAGTCTTGGGTTCAGGTGAAGAAGGACATCTGAGTACAGATACTTATTAATCCAAGAAGACAATACTGCAAAGGATTATTTCATGGAGCTTAACCACTTCCGTCCCCTGTTGTGACTCAACTCTTCTTACATCTATCAGTGTTTTTTCAAGCTAGCAGCTTAAGATGTATGGACTTCAACTTCCGAAATTCCATTGCTGGCTGGGGTATTCTGGGAGTTGAAGTCCAAATACCTTCAAATGGCTGAGGTTGGAAAACACCGTATTAGACTTCCTGAAGTTTTCCTTCTGTCTTATATATAACTAGCTGATAACCCTGCGTTGCCCGGGTATTTATTTATAGGGGGAAAATATCTGGACCAAACATAATTTCTAATGTTTGATTTCCCCCCTTCCCAGAGGAAGCCCCCTTGTGCAGAACTGTGAAGCCATTACCATGGCAACTCAGTGCACTGTGCAGTAGAATCCATTTTATGGCAGTACAGTAGAAGCCATTTTAAGGCACAACAGGCTGTATCTTAACAGAACACACACCCCAAGCGGTGTTAGTGGTGTCTTACCCCCACAGTATTTGTTTCCAGATAGTAAGTCATCTATGTACCAATTTTGGTTGAAATTGCTTGAGGCGTTCCAGAGTTATATTGGAACACACACACATATATTTATATTTATATTATTTATATTATATATATATGTATAATAAACATATGTTTTCGTAGATTTTCACGGGTGTAGGTACGCTGGTCTTGTTGTATTCGGGTCTTTTCCCGTGTAAGATTGAGATTGTCTTGGCAACGTTTCGGCAAGGTCCCACTTGCCATCTTTTTATTTTATTAAAAGATTTTTATAAAGGAAGATAAAAACACATACAAATTAATACAAAGTAAGAAGAAAACGAAATGTCTTCTTTCTTGATTACCTCTTTTTTTCCCCTTTGAAAATAAATATCATCATCATAGATTTCTTTGCAACACCAGCTTTCAGCCCTACTTTTCTCCTTTCGCATCTCTATATATGTTCCTCTTTCCTTCTCCTCACCTTGATCTTTCTGTATGCGTAACACACACACACACTTTTTGGGTCCTCTGAGTTTTGTTCTGTTTTTGTCTTCCTTGAGTTTGACCACAATGAGATAGAGCAGACCATAAAATAAGATTGCAAACTGTTAGGAAATTTGACTCAATTCCAGTAAGTGCCTTTGAAATGAAAGGAAAGATGACTAGCTCGTGTTGAATCTTGTTAACTTTATGATGGGTACTATCTTGCTATGTTCAGGATTTGCTTAGAAGAGATTGATGCATGTAGATAAAAAGGGTGCCAGGTCATTGGTAAGCTGTAGGAAACTCCGTTCTCTCCTAGCACTATTGAAGGTGCCTACACTGGTGTTTTTCAAACTTGGCAACTCTGTGGTGTTACCTGGGTAATTTGGGGAGTTGAAGTCCACCCCTTTTAAAGTCGCCAAGTTCATGCGATCATATGTGATGGACATGCCCAAAAGCAAAAAGAAAAAAAAAATTGGACAAAAACAACATACTATATTTTTCGGAGTATAAGACGCACCTTTTTCCCTCAAAAAAGAGGCTGAAAATCTGGGTGCATCTTATACACTGAATACAGCATTTTTTGCCTCCAGAAACCCCGCCCCCTTCACTAAAATGGCCGTGTATAGCCTCTAGGAGACATTCAGAGTGCTCCTGGGGGCTGGGGAGGGCAAAAATGAGGGAAAAATAGGCCATTTATTTGCTCA